GCTGTAAAAGCCCTACGTTCTATCCCCAGTACTGGGGGGAAAAGAAAAATGAATTTCAAGTCAAACCCAAAGTTACTTAAAGAAAAGAAATAAAGACTAGAAATGGACGTAAAATGTAGAATAAAAGTTAAAAACAAAACAAAAAATGATGAAAGGAAAAGGTAAGTGAAAACCTACTGTTAGCTAGATTAACCAAATAGAAGAGACAAGGTCACAATAAATAAATGAAAAAGGAGACATTACAGCCACTACCATGAAACACAAAGCACCAATAGAGATTTATGAGCAACTATATTCTAACACATTGGAAAACTTTAGAGGAAAAGGATACATTTTCAGATACAGTGTAACTTACCAAAATTGAATCATGAGGGTATAGAAAGCCTGAATAGAGCAGTAACGAGTAACAGAGTAACACATTTGAATCGTTAGTAATAACTTTAAAATTCCAGCATAGTTAAGTCCAGAGCTGATGGCTTTATTGCTGAATTTTATCAGACTTTTATGTTGTTTTTTTTTTCTTGGTACTGGAAATCGAACTCAGGTCCTCGTGCTTGAGAGGCAGGTGATGGAACCACTGAGCCAAATCCCTGGCCTTTACCAGACTTTTAAAGAACTAACGCTGATGCTTCTCAAACCATTTCAGAAATTTTGAGAGGGTTCCCTTCCAAACTCATTCCTCAAGGCCGGCATTGCCCTGACTCCAAGACCAAACAGAGATGACAACAAGAAGAAAGAAAACAGTAGACTAATATCCCTGAAGTATGTGTCCATGCGGAAATTTTCATCCAGTTGTTAGCACATCAAAGATCATTCACCATGATCCATTTATCCCAGGGTTACCAGGATGGTTCAACATATGCAGAGCAATGAACAATATCACATCAAAAAGAAAGAATAAAAATGATCAACTCAATAGATATAGAAAAAGCATTTGATAAAATTAAATAAAACGCCATGATAGAAACTCTGAACCAATTAAGTATAGAAGGAACATGCCTCAACCAATAAAGGCTATATATGACGGACATGCGAAGCTAGCATTATATTGATTGGAAAAAGCTAAATATGTTTCATCTAAGATTAGCACAAGACCAGGACATTCACTCTCTCTGTTCTTGTTCAATAAAATACTGGAAATTTTAGCCAGGCAAGAGAGACAAATAAAAGGCATATAAATAGGAATGTGGTTGAAGGTCACATTATCTGTAGATGATGATTCTGTATATGGAAAAACTTTTTTTAAAACCACAAGAAAACTATTAGTACTGAAAAACCAAGTTGGTAAAGTTGCAGGATGCAAAATCAACATACAGGAATTTATAGCTTTTTTTTTTTTTTTTTTTTTTTTTTTTTT